TTCTTGAGATGTCTTTGGGTTGTTTGATATTGTGGTCTTCACAAAATGTGGGGCATCTATATCCACTAAGCCCCACTATGGTGTGGTTGAAATCACAAGATTTAAATCAGACCACACTCTATACATGCTCTACATCGTTGGTGCGGATGCATTGTGAGCAAAATTGTCAATAAAATATCTTGATAATTTATTGCAATACTTTATGATTAAATCTATTATGGTGTAGACTAATTTTGGTGTATAAGAGAAATTGACATTTTGTGTTTCAAAAGAACTAGGGTTTCTTGAACTCGGTTTGGTGCATGCAGGGGTGTACGTCCAACCATATTGTTTCATGTCAGCTACACAGAGCACCCAAGTTTGTGTGTGTGGAGCTTTCAAATGGAGATTATAAGAGATCGAGACAAAACAATATTTTGTGTATTACAAGTTTGGCAAGTTATTCTTTTAGTTGTACAATAGGAGGTAGGAACAATCTTATGTCTAAACCCAGTTTTTTCACTTGGTTTGGCGAAACATGATCCATCATTATTGGTGAGTTATTCTTTTAGTAGTACAAGAAGAGACCAAAAAATAAGCAAACTTTAGTCTGAAATGGAATTCAAGATTAACCTTGTTGTAGCTTCAATTGGAATAAAGCAAGATTTTTCAAGTGAGTAGTAGTAATAGCATAAGAAGAAGAAGAAGAAGAATAAGAAGAAAGAGCAAAGAAAAAATGTTGCAAAGAACTCCTCTGCCCTTGGCTGAAGATTGAACAAGAAAGAGATTTCTTGTCAATGGTGTCCACCCCTAGCGGAGAAGAAAGGGCTAAGGTTTGTTTATTTTTTCAACTTCTTTATCTTTTTTTTTTTTATTTTGTAAAATGAAATGGAAGGAGTTTTGAAAGTTTCACATGTATGAACGTGTCATGCATATCTAACATGGAGCAATGTGAATGGGAGTGCATCTCAGTGTATACCCAACTGTGTAGGATATCCGGACTCGTTTCAAAACCATCCACACATGGTTTAAAAAGCTTCACAACCCTAAAAAATGCCTAATGGGTGTTGTACATTTCAAACCAACAAATCCATTGAATATCCGATTACCGAACACCCCTTTGTACGTCATTGATCTAGACTAACTTGGTTTGACATTGACCCACTTGTCCAACCACCAATTAGCTCAATATCACCTACTAATGTTGTGACTATCAACTTGCATAAACTATCATGGCACATGGAATATCACATGGTTCACACACCAAATGTTGGCAAAGTTAAATGTTTGACTTGGGAAGAGCAATGTTGCATCTCTCTCTCTCTCATAGAATTGTCTCTTTTATAAAGTTAAAGAGCAAAGCTGCAAAAAATTGGTGCTCAAAATGTGAGATTACTAGGAACAAAGGATTACAATATTTATACTTGAAATTTTTAATTTTGCTTTTCATTAATTTTTTTTATAAGTGTACTCATTTATTATTTCTCAAGATGTATTTTTTTGTATTATATATTATACACTATAGGAGATTAAGGGGTGGGTGACATAACATGATACATGGGATTGATCTTGTGCCTTCATATTTAGAAGGATGTCGATTAACCATCTTAACCAATGTTTTAAAAACCAACCCTAAATTGGAACCACTTTGGTAACAAGTCTTCGAGTCAACAGTTTGATCATTTATTTTAAATGGATCAACTCATAACATTTTAAAAAATTAAAATAATTAAAATAAAAATTAGCCAAAAACCATTGTTTGGGCCGAACAAGCCAATGGCTCAATTGCCTAGGTTAGTGGTTCATTGACCAATTAAACGGTTTTTGGAAAAATAACGATTATGGGATGAAATAAAATTCATACCTTGGCTGGTTTCTAGGTTGAACATTCTAAGCGTTTGGGAACGACAAATGACGCTTTTAAAACCTTGATCTTATCTATTGAGTCATTGGCAAGAGTTGGTTGAACCAAATAAAAAAGTCCATCTTTCTATCACTTGAAGCTATTGTGAATTTGTACATTATTCTCATTTGCAAATATATGTTGTGCTTTTAGCAATACTTAAACATAGCTCTATCTGTTGCAAACATGGTCTCCATACTATTCTATAATGCCATCTTTCATGCTAAATTCCATCAGCTGAATAGGGAAATTCTTGGGCATGATTTCACTCAAATCTATACTATATATAAAAGTGTGGATACAGAGTGGAAGTTTTTTTGGACTAAAATTACCTTCTATTTATTTGTTTGAGAAATGTTATAAAAGTCATTTTATTACAGCTTTAATGGCTACTAAAATGCCCATATTTGTCTATTTAATCAATATCTAATTGTAAGGTTTGAAAATGTAATTTCAATTATTACTTTTCACCTCATTTAATCCTCTCTGATTAAGTCTTATACTTAAGTTATTAACTCCCATTTTATCTTATTAAATCCTATATTTAAGTTATTTTTCACTAATAAATGTTACTAATTAGATCTATGTCAATATTTTTAACAATATAAACCCATATAGTTTAAAACTAACTCAAAAACAAAATCATTCTTTATCCAAGTGGTGGATAAGAAATTCAACAATCTGAATCAAACTGATCAACCTATGAAGTCGTAGTTAGGTAATAAAAATTTTAAAATATAAATAAATCTAGAAATTTACAAAAATATAGAAAAAAACTATACACATTTATGATATTTTTATTAATCAAATTAAAAAAAAGTGTAATGAACAAGAATTATTTTCATTAATAATGAAATGAGGTACATAATTTAGAAGTAACAAAATGAAATTATTTTACTATTTGGAAAAGATCAATAATTCTACTTTTGAGTCAAATGTGTTAACATTTAATGTCATAAATAAATAATAAAAAATTAAAAAGGGAAATTTTGTTGCATAAGTGTTGGTAATTTCCCCACACCCACCCCCACCCCTAGGTGGGAAAGTTACTTACCCACCTAAGAGATGGGTATCACTTATACGGTTAAGTGATATATAGGAAAAATAAATTTTCATAGACCCCAGTAAATGTGAAAAAAGAACATGGGTATCTTGGTCAATGGGAATCAAAATCCCATTGACCAATGTTCTCCCCTCTCAAAATCCAAAAAAAGAATGAGACACAAGTGAAAAAAAAGTGTTTTTTTTTTAATTTGATCAAATAAATGGGTGGCTTAACAATTGAGCCCCCGTTATTCTATAATTGTCATGCACCCCTTCAAGTCAACACCTGTGTTATTGATTTTATAACTCTCCATGTATTATTTAGCAGTCCTGTTTCTTTTAAATTGATGTAAATCAAGAGAGTTGTCTGTTGCTTATTGTTAGGGATGGCATTTTTCCCCATGAAATCCAGGTCCTATCTTGCCTCAAATGAGGCATGTATTCCTCCATCTTAAATGGAGATGGGGAAACCATTTTGCTCCAAACCAAGGAGGTAGGGATGGGATTTGCAGATATAATTTCTCAAACCCGATAGTAAATTATTAAAATATCCCTAGATTTAATTTAAATTTCTAAAATACCGTTCAAATTTCCCCAAAACTTAAGATTCCATAATCTCAAATTTTAAAATACTTTCAGATTCTCCTAATCATATTTCTAAAATATTTTTATATTTAGATATCCTTCGTTACAACCAGGGATGGGGCGGGGGATTTTGACTATGGGTCTGAATGGCTGATAATGGGGAGGGTCTTGCCCTACACCCTCCCCATTGCCATTCCTACTTGTAGCGTTGACGTCAATACTCTCAATCCCTAGTGTTTTGACCGATAAACAATGCTACACTGTGGGCTTGGAGTTGGAGTGAGTGGTCTCATCTTATCCCATTAATCCAAACAAGGTTTAGCTGAACGCTGTGGTGATATGGTTCCACGTTAGTATTTAAATATATGGGGCTTGTATCTTTACAGTGAGGCTCATAAATTTATTACTGATGGGCTTTGCCACATGGCCCATGTCATTCTTCAATTTGGTGAATTCAAATCAGTCCCCAACAATGTTCTACAATATATCCACACAGTGTATTAGGAATATCTTCCAATGATGACATTGTCATTTCTAAGATTATCATCGGAAGATGTTTCCCATATATGGGAGGACGTGGTGTGGGACGTTGTGGGGGGCAATCTTGTGGGTGGCTGGTTTGGTCCCTAATTTAGTTAGTCTTAGAGAGAGAAAAATAAACATCGTCAGTCGTCACGCTGTTAAAAAAAACTTCGAGTGGGCGAAGGGAAAGTGGCGGTGTTGTAGCTCATGTTCTGCTGCTGCACCACCTGCACCTCCATCATCCATCGACCATCTCATCTTGCAACTATCGTCTTTATTTTTTTATTGGGTTTACCACTTACTTACCAACACGGCAACACCAGTTCAAAGCCTCAAACGAAGATTCCTCCATCCAGTTTTCTACTACCACGTGTCACATTTTTGGCCTTGAAATATATCTATGTCCAGGTGGCGCAAAGTTGATGGGGCCTCCCTTGGAAAATATCCTCTCCAGTTATCCCCAGCTTAACGAGCACGCGTCCCTGAGGTGGGTCCAATGCCAAGCTCGGAAGGCGGGCGTATCACTCATCTCTGTCATCCAGAGAAAATATCCAAACTGGTGACCCAGGGTGGGACACCTCAGCGTCTCAGCGTCAATCCTCAATCTCGCCCATCGCCAATCAAAACCAACTTTAAGATGTCTTTACGCTTAGTAAAGAATGCTATAATTATTTTTGGACAAATTTACCCCCTCTCAATAAAAAGGCTGAAAAGATGATTGAATTTGAGAAGGAAAAAAAAAAAATAAAAAAATAATAATAATAACAATAACCAAAGGGAGCCATAGCACATCATAAGAAAGCTAATATTTGTATTGTGGCCGGTATATTTATAAATATAATAACTGTCCTCTGCGTTTTCTAAAGGAGAAAGAAAGGGGTAATTTTGGAATTATATTTAAAATAACCGACATTGTCAATTCATCCAACCTTGTTTGTTCATTTATTTTGCGTAGGTCCCTTTGTTTTTTAATTTTTTATCTCAAGCCTGAAGGTTGACGCTTGACACAGAGGTATCAAGATATTTTTGCGGACTCCACGGCTCTGAATCAAAGTAATCGATCTATGACTCTGAGGCGGTTTCTGCTGGAATCGGAACGAGCCATCGTTCTACCTTTTGATCTTGATCCTTAAATCTGTGCTAGTTCAGCGGTGTTTTTGATATTCTGCAAAGTGGTGGTGGTGAATTTTGCAGCACATGCAGCTCTAGGGGATGACGGCAGATTATTGTTTTGTTATTATCCGGTTTGAGATTAGGGTTTAGGAAGAAATGGGTGAATTTACTGTAAGTAGTGAAGATGCAATGGAAGTGGTGTTGCAGGAGGAGGAAGGGGAGGGAGAGACACAGGAGGACAAGAAGAAGGACAGCTCTGCAACTATGGTTAAGTGGGAGGAAATTTTTCCTCGGATGTTTCTCAGAGTACTGTTGGTTGAAGCCGATGATTCGACTAGGCAGATTATCGCCGCACTTCTCCGAAAATGTAGTTACAGAGGTTAGTTTTCATTTGGTTTTACGTATTTTTCTTCTTTTCCTCCATACCTTTCAATTCTTATTTGGTTATTTCTTCTCCCCCTTTTGTTTGGCGATGGCTGGGTTCTAGTGGTTTGGAGACTAGAGCATGTGGTACAGGATTTCAGGCGGAAAGCTGAAATACTTTTTAATTATTCTTTATTTAATCCTTTTGGGGACTATATTTTTCGTTGAATTGCCCCTTTTTTTTCCTTTTCATTTGGTTTCTAAAGCTTTGATCCATAGTTCTGGATGGAGGACCAAGAAGTGTATTCAATGGTACTTTAGTTTTAAGTTGATGTCCATTTGTTTAATGTTTGGAAATTTGTGAAGTTTACTGTTTATGTCACCTGGTGTCACTGGGAGGTCAGAGGGTTCGATGTTGTCGTTGGATCTTTATATTTTCAAATCTATGTTCTTGGATATTATTTACAACACGGACGTGGTATGTAAACAAATTCATGGGAAGAGCCGTGCTTAGTGTGCAAGCTTGTAATACTTCTTCCATTTTCAACTCCTTTAACTTAATGGGCAAGTGGTCGTTTTTTTGAGATCGATGGTCTGTAGTGGTAAAGCTTTTCTCGTCCTATGCAGGGTTTAGCATTTGCGCTGAGTCACGTCTGACTTGGGTGAATCTGCTTGGTTTCGTGAGGTTCCAATATGAACTGCTTGTGTGAGCTACTTACCTTCATTGCAATCTTCATGTGTGGTAGCAACTCCGCTTTAAACTGGTAATGAAGTCGTCTTGGATATTGAGACTGGGCTTCACTCTTTGGTCCTAGTTGTTGATCTTGGACAATTAGATGTGGATGGGTTGTCGATACATTTTAGGTAGGAGTAGGTCGGATCATACCCACAAGCATTAAGGGTATAATCAATTTGTTAACCAGTTGACGTACAGGCTTTAACCCAGTGTACCTGTTCATCACCATTAATATGTCAAACGTTTTTCTGTTACTTAGGCGGAAGTAATAAGAAACGATTTAATCACACATAATTTAATGATGGGTTTAGCACTCAAAATGGTGAAACAGGATTCATGTAGCCAACCCCTTATAGTTGGGACAAGGCTTAGATGATTATGATAATGTCATTTGGAAGATTCTGTGATCTTCATTGTACAGGTCAATACCATGGTATTGACTGATGAAGAAAATTCCATGGCAATAATGTTTTTGTTTTTGGTCTTGAGTCATACACTCATACATGCTACCTTTCTTTTTCTTTTTCCTCTTGAGATCTTGATGCTCCTTTCTGAGAGTTGTGACTAATATAGTTGGCTGTTAACTAGTCAATATGAGATTTGATCTCAGGAGCTGTTTGATAATGTCTGAAGTTGCTGAACTGAAAGACTTACTACTTTGTCTTTTAGCTGTTAAAATAATTAAGTAATAAATTTTTCAAGGAAATAGTGGTCTACCCAACTTCAGGTTCATCCGTTAAGGAGTCCACAACCTCCTTAAAATCTTATTCACTGCAAGACAAAGTGATAAATTTTTCAGTTCAGCATATTCAGCTGTCATCAAACGGCCCTTCAGTCAATTAGAACCTGATAAGATAAAAGATCTCCTCAAAATGAACTCATTTCAATTCCAATGTTTGAATGAATGGGACTCAGGTCTGTCTGGACAAGTTGTTGGGTCTGCCTCCTCCATGCTTTCCTAGGTAGTTGGAAGACAGTTGCTTGTAGGTTGAACCTTGAAGCTGTTGAATTGATTCATTTAGGTGGCAGCCTATATAATGACAAGCCATCTAAAGATATAAGATTTGTGTTATTTTTCTTGGGGAACTACCAGGTACCAAGTCAWCAACTATCTATGCAGTTAATTCTTTTTCCTTTTTTGTTAATCAATACTGCACTATTTTACCACAGGTTACTCAGGCATCAGTGAGGTTGATGGCAGACTGTTTTTTTTTTTTTTCAGTAATTTGTCTTGATCCAATGGTCCTGTAATTTCTCCAGTTGCCAATTCAGGAGGTGAAGGTAGTAATTGGTCCAAGTCTGTCAAATCATGGGTGCATTGCAATGTTTTAAAAGGCATATGAAGCTTATGCCTTGAGGTTCACCTAGAGGTGAGGCTCAAGGTAAATGCCTCAAGGTTCAACCTTGAGGCTTGAAGCTTGAGCAGGTGTAAACAGCACAATTCCCAATCCCCATACAGTGGGATGCCCTATTAAGAAAATGCATTTCATAGTGTGTGTGTATGTGTCTCTGACATTTAAAAAATTTTAATATTAATTCTAGGGTTTTTAGGAACGCATTTAGTTTCTTTAAAGCTCTTGATATTCTTACTGTCCTTGCCTATGTTATCATCCATTCCTTTACATTACTCTTCCTATATAAAGACGTACCCATCCTTACAATATTTATGTACTTTTAATCATATTAATTTCAGATTTTTTCTTAAAGAAATGGCAATTGTAGTAGTTTAAGTGTACAGATGCTTTATCACGTGCTTCTTGTGGAACAATTTGACATTGCAATAACTGCAGGTTATAGAGCAGAGAAGTATTGATGTACCCATTCTTACAATATTTCTATACTTTTCATCATATTAATTTCATATTTTTTCTTAAAGAAATGGCAATTGTAGTAGTTTAAGTGTACAGATGCTTTATCACGTGCTTCTTGTGGAACAATTTGATATTGCAATAACTGTAGGTTATAGAGACAGAGAAGGATTGTTTCCTCATTCACTTTTGTCTTTTTATGTGGAAATTTCTGTCATAAATCTTATGGAGTTGTAACTTTTGTAACTTGATTCCTTTTCAGTATTGAATTTTCAAAGATGTGTTTATTTTTCCACATGTTACTTTCTCTGTCTCTCTTTCTCTCTTGATAATTCTGATATCTGTTAAGATGCTTCTTAGTGTGTAAGATGGATCACACTCCTGGAACAGAAAATAAATCTTCTTCTTTATTATTGTGTTTTCACAGTTTCTGCAGTTCCAGATGGCTTAAAGGCATGGGAAGCACTGAAAGGGAGACCTCATAAGATAGATCTCATTTTGACAGAAGTTGAGCTGCCATTAATATCTGGATTTGCTCTTCTGACTTTAATAATGGAGCATGAGATCTGCAAAAATATTCCTGTTATAAGTATGATAAATTGAAGAGAAATCTTTTGGATAATATTCTTATTCAGTTTTAGTTTTGATCATTGTGAAGCTCTTATTTAAATAACTTTGTATTTCTTTGTTGATCATGCAGTGATGTCCTCACATGATTCAATTAGCATGGTTTTTAAATGCATGTTGAGAGGTGCTGCTGACTTTCTCATCAAGCCTATCAGGAAGAACGAGCTAAGAAACTTGTGGCAGCATGTCTGGAGAAGACAGACTGTATGTCTTAAGCCTCGCATTTCTTGTTGGAAAATTTTCTTTCTAGGTTATTTTGGTGCCTAGAGATTCGGATTCAAACTGAATCTTGGCTTGTTTGTACTATCAGTCAACAGGTAGTGGACATGGTCATCAAGAAGGGAGACCTGTACAACAGAAAGTTGAAGCTATTTCTGAAAACAATGCTGCAAGTAATCATTCAAGCGATTATGTTGCTAGAACACAGAAAAATAAGCAGTGTAGTGAGAAAGGAAGTGATACTCAAGTAAGTGTTTTCCTGTATTCTAGTCTTTGATAGTAAAGCAATTTTTCTGCTTCAATCAGTATCAGCCGGCATCATATCTTTGGACGAAGGCATGTCTCTCTGCTCTGGCAGGGATGGGGAATAATTTGGATACCCAATCGAGTTCAGGGATGGGGAGTGAAATCCCCACCCAACCCAAACACGAATGTGTGTGTATTAAATTTTGAAAATAGTTCTGTATAATTACCATAGTGCCACTCCATATATGTTCTTAACCCCACAAATTGGGCCCTAGCCTCCTAAATTCTGCCTCCCTCCATTTCCCACAACTGAAACTCTTCTTTCTGCTCCAGCTGTCCAGTGCACCCAAGTTGTAGTCTCCTTATCAGTTCAACTCAACTAGATGTTAGTTAAGTTCTAAACCAATTTAGATTAGTGATTTTTTTTTATTTCTTTTAAGTAAATTGGGGATTAAGGTTCATTTTTCTCCCAGATGGGGATGGGGAGTATAGTCTCCACCCTGAACCTGCCCTGTTGCCATTCCTATGTAGTTGTGATTGTTCTGTAAACCTGTGGACACATCTGAGAGGTTGTTTTAGGTTGTCCATCTGCTGTTGTAAATTGTAATTTGGTATTAATCATGAGAGGCACCAATTGATTGGGTATTTTGTTAGTAACAAGTATTATCTGAATTATTATGCTCGTGGATTGTTGGATTGATACCAAAGGATACAAGTGTTATAAAATAGTAAGTTCCAGGATATATGGTAATATGTTTGTTGTAAAAAAAGCTAAAGTATCCTTCCTTTTCAGTTATATCAGTTACATGAGGTTTTACATAGAGATTGCATGTTTTCCACGTGTTCTGCAGAGCTCTTGTACAAAGCCAGACAGACAAGCTGAGAATGCCTACATACAAAATATGCAGGATCAATTGCAGCCAAAACGTAGGAGTGCTTCTCCTGTGAGTGACAGCCACATACAAAAACATGGAGGGTGCATTGATCAGAACTTGCTTGTTCATGAGAATAGAACAGAAGGTATGATGTGCTTTCTTGTTTTCATGGCCAAATATTGTTCTCCATTTGCTCAGTCCTGTATCCTGTTGATTTTATTTGTAATTGGGCATTTGGGCATCTTGTAACTACTTATGTAGATAAATCAATTATATTGGGATCATGACTGCGACCTTAGAATGAAATTAATAAATTAAATATGTTATTTCCAGGAAAAGACCAGGATTATGTGAGAATGATTACCCATTCTGATGATGTTGCTCCAGAAACTCAAAGTGAAGATGTTTATATCAATACCAAGACTCAGAGTGGCTACCATGAAAAGGTGCCTCTGAGAGAGGCAATTGACTTGATTGGAGCATTTGATAACCACCGAAGTTATGATAATACCTACAGGACAGTTCAAGAAGTTGTTTCCTGTGATACAAAAATTAAATCTGGTTTAGATGATGATCAATTGGGCCCTACCCCACTATTGGAGCTTTCATTGAGAAGATCCTATACCATTGATCCTGAGAAACAAAGGACTGACATAAGGCATGCATTAAACCATTCAAATTTCTCAGCCTTTTCATGGTGAGTTTCTGTTTCATGTGTTTCATCCATTTTATTATGAAACATTACTTTTGAGCAATTGCAATGAAGCTAAATTGGCATTCTGCTTAGTGAATCATACTTCTTCAGTAGCCTTTTAACCAAAGTTCTAAACTAAATTCTAATGCACGCACAGAGACAAGCTTTTTCTCCCAAAAGTCCAGATGGGCAAGTTTTTTTCCTATTATCTGTTATCCTGATAGACTTGTATTTTGTCTCTGTCATTTGCTTATGATGAATTACATACTTATTGGGAAATGCACATGGTAGTGCTGATTGCCTGATTGTGCCAGTTAGAAAAATGTGCAAACTGTAGTAGAATGCATTGGAGTAGGCGGCAAGGTAGTTCTGCCCACATACTCTAAAATTGCTTAAGGTGTAGTAGAATGCATTTAAGTTGTAACTCACTCTTAGTATAACTTTTTTTTTTGGTAGTAAATATAAAAGAAAAATTATCAAGAGTAGAAAAAGATTACAATTAAAGGTGATAAGGAATCACCCATAAAAAAGAAAAAGAAAACCTGAACCTGATCTCCTCTTCTAAGCAACAGAGATAAGAATCCCAAGGCCCAAAAAGGAACAACAAAACACCCTATCCTGGCTACATCAGACCCCCAAAATACAGACAACAAAAGACTCAAACCCTTTAACTTCCAAAACCTTCTGCCTATCCACCTGACTCACCAAAACCAAACCTCCAAACCTGGATTAAGTACTAAACTCAAAGATCACGTCTTCAACTTAAAATTGTATCATTATCTCATACAATTACTGAACCTCTCCATGGGGCCTGTACAGAACATTCCAGTGTTCAGGTTTGGAGGTTTCCAATGTTCATTTCAGGCCTTATGAGTACATAACCAATTGCAACTTAAAATTGTATCACTACAGTAGACAGGTCAAAATTGGTGGTATCTAGGGGAACTGGGTCAAGGATTTAAATTTCTCAACGTATCAGGGTATATTGGCCGATACGTATTGTATCGGGCCCCCTCCGATAGGCCCCTATACTTGGTGTTTCGGGGTCCCACCCATTTCAGGGGGTATACGGGCCTTAAACCAATCCCCTGAACCAAGTTCGAAGAAAAAACTAAAAAAAAAAAAAAAAAAAAGCTTCAATACAGTCTGATATGCCCCAGTCGGCGTATTGGACTGTAATGATATTTTGAACCTTGAACTGGGTAAATGTATGTGGTACTGGTTGTGGTGCTAGAGGAGGAACTGCTCCTTAAAATGTTGATTTTGGTGAGGTGGTAGTAGAGAAATAGGGGGAGGTCCGCTATTGCTCAGACTCCTCCTAAATGGACAATGTGTTGTGTTGAACATGCATCTGGGTCCAACAGTCCATGGCTTGAGGGCACTTAACATTTCCTTTCATCTCCTAGTTTATTTTACATAAACGAAGAACTACTCTACAAGACGAATCCACATTTTGTATATAATGCCACTTATTAGTAACAAAAGAAACATTTTTTGGAGGTATATAATATTATAATTCTATAAAGAAATATTCGGGTAAAAAGGAATATTCTATAAAACAGTTGTAAGGCCAACTATGTTGTATGGAGCAGATTGTTGGGCAGTTAAGAAACATCTCCAAAAAACGAGTGTCAGAAATGTGTATGCTTAGATGGATGAGTGGTAAAGCTAGAAAGCATAGGGTCAAAAATAAAGTCATGTGAAGGAACCTAGAAGCGGCACCAATAGATAAAGTGAAAGGGAAAAAATGTGCAGAAGACCCTACACAGCACCTGTTAGAAGAATGTGATCTGTTACAAGTTGACGGGCTTGGGTGGAAGTAGTAAAAAATGATTTGTGTGCACAGGGAAGGAAAATAGTATTCATCATTCGTAAAGAGTATGAAAATCCCTTTCATTGAGCCCCTTCATCTTGTAATAATGTGGCATTGGCTAAATCAGCTAAGAGAAATTTTGACCAGACTTGCATACCCTTCCACCTAAACAGTGAAACCAAAGTCCTGTTCTTGTAGAATATGATATTCAATATGAATAATATTTCTAAGGACATCTTGTCCTTTTAACTTTTCTAATTGTAACTTAGATATTGGGCCTAGATGAGAAACAGAAGCTGTTTTCTTGGAGTGCATGAATGCATGTGCATTCCTTCTCACATTTTCTTTTAATGTCTGTTAGCAATGCATACTTTAGAAGGAATAAATTTGAATTTCTGTTTAACTGCAAGCCTGACATCTACACAAGGCACATAGAACAGTCCTCAAGGTGCATATTCAAAATTTGCTCAAGGAAAATAAAGCTAACGATGTTAATACTTAAACCTGAGTCATGCTAAATTTAGGGTTCTTTTCTGCAGGTATAATAACAGAGTTATGCAGCAATGTGTTCCATTATCGGCCAGTTGTGCTACTGAACAAAGTGAACGTTCAATTAACTCCGATAAACAGTTGTCAAGACAAGATAATGCAAAAACTTCTGATGCTTCTCAACAGAATGGTATCAGTTCGAATAATAATCATGAATCTATGACCTCTCTCGTTCGTCAGTCTGGCCCATCTGAAACAGTATTTCGATGCTCTCCACTAGGGGTTGTTCATATGCCAGTTTCAGTTAGGAGTATGACATTTGATGATTTACGTTCAAGCTATGGTGCTCTGATTCCACCTATATTTTATACACAATCAAGTCCAATTCCAGTATGGGGTCAAAGCAGCCCAGTCAACCAGTGGGAACTCACTGTGCCCCTGAACTCATCTCTGCATTCAAATCCTGAAACTTGCAATTCCAGACAAGGTTACCATCCACATAGTCAAAATGAAAATTATGCTAACAAACATAAAGTGCATGAGCTGGAGGAGCACAATATGGAATCTGCAGAGCATCCAGGGGATGTTTCACCTGCAACTGGTAATAGTGCAAGTAGTAGTTTATGTAATGGTGCTGTTAGCCATCTTAACAGCAGTGGTTGTGGAAGCATTTGCAATGGAAGCAATGGGAATGTCACTCCAGCTGCTGCTGGTAGGACTACTACAGAGAGTGAGACTGATGAGTGCATCTTCATTCATGATGGGATTAGGGGAATAAATTCTCATCGCTCTACTGAAAGAGAAGCTGCTCTCACTAAGTTTCGGTTGAAGCGGAAAGAGAGATGCTATGAGAAAAAGGTATTCTGATCTATATTCTAATTATTGTTGCTGTTAATGTTATTCTTCCTATTTTTACTATTATTGCTGTTCCCTAATTAACTTACAGATGAGTCTAGTGCCATTAGTCTTTGTGTGTGAGACTGTGAGTCTAGGGCCTTAACACGTGGGAGGATAGCTTTTGATTACTGCTTGAATGCACTGCAAAGTATAGAATTGATCCAAACATATTGTTTTTGTTGTTGTCATCATCTTAGTAATAGTAATTGCAATAATGAGAATAATCCTTAAACCTCCCCTTATTTTTACCTTAAACAATTCAACCATTAGCCTTGATGGAATGTGGGCAATGTTTGAAATACCCTTAAAACCAAGTTCAATTTAAGGAAGAATACCACCTCTCACATTCTGAACAGTAAAAACTGGTGAAGACTACACTATCTCCTTTGCTATTTTAGTAAGAGAATCTCCAGCAGAGTACTCTCCTCTGGAAACTTTGTTTCTGGTAGTGGTATCACCACCTCCTCATGGAGTACATCCGTCTCTCTTTCTGCTCCTCAATTGGCTTATCGTAGTATTAAATGCCTTCCATGTTATGAGTTTGATTGTAGTTGGATAATTGGTCATTATAGAGAGTAATATCACATTGCTAACATTTTCTTTGCTGAAAATCAAAAGGAAAAGTCTTATCTAGAGAATTTTATATGTAGATTAAGATCATGGCTTTTCTCTTTAAAGTTACTTCTAGAAAGATTATGCCATTGTAGATGATTTGTAACAAGAGTCTTGTGCTGGATTTCCTGTTTTTGGAGAAAACAAGGCTCTATTGGAGCTAGGGGTGAAAGTTGGATTGCAAGAGTTGAAGCTTCCAATTACATTTGGCTTGGGCCTATCCAAAATTTAACAAATGCTCAACCCAACCTAACCCAAGTTACACCCCTAATTAGAGTAGGCCCATCTAAGATGGTTTGTAATATTTAGGCCTATGGAAATAAAATTTATAGAATGTTAGATTCTTGTTTGTCATTCCTCCATCAAGAGGCCCAAAATCCAATGCAATTATATTTGGTTGGAAGGTGCTGTTATTGCTGTTCCAAAATGACATTTAGGTTACTGATTTGCTTCTTGGAAGTAATAACTTGTTAAAGTCAATAGTCTGCGGTACACAAAGAAACATCATTGCCTGTACACCCACCAGATCAAGAAAGTGGTTTTCTGGGACATTTCTTCTTGTCATTTCCCACTTTCTTGAAATTGAAGTCAATATACATTCAGAGAGAGATTTCCCAGCATCTATGGCCTGTCTTTGAATAAAAACAAAACCATTTCTCAATGTTTAAAGCCTGAAACCTTGGGACTAGGATGAGATTTGGGTTATGAAGAGGGCTTAGGGGTTATAAATCAAGCAAGGTTTTGCAACTCATCTCCCTCCTAGAAGGCATTTATTTGGATCTGTCCAAACCTGATGGTAGAATTTGGGTTACTTGGTCATCTGGTATATTCCCTTGTTCTTCTTTCTTCCATTCTTTGCTTCTTACAGCCTCTCTCCCTAGGGCTTTCTTGGTTAGAGCCATTTGGCTTGGTTCTACTCCACAAAAGTTCAGGATGTTCTGTTGGGAGGTTTACCATCAGAACATACATACATGTGATCCTACGGAAGAGAATACTAATTGATGTTTGTCTCCTGATATTTGTTTCTTATGCATGGCAAGTGGTAAAACTACTTTCGACCTACTGATCTCCTACCCTTTCACTTTTGGCATTTAGGAGGAGTTTTTTTCTTGACCTTTTTGGACATAGGTGGTTTTCTCCAAGGGATACAGAGAGTCTGTTCAAACACAGTTTCTACTTTCTACAATCACAAGAAGGTGGACTAGAGTGGCTGTACTATGGTCATTTTGGGAAGAAAAAGGAAATCTCAAATTCTCAAGGTGGAAAATCACTAAAAAAGAAGCATTGGTGGAAAACATAATGATTCAAGTGACAAAAAATAAATCAAAGTAACTTCCCTGTTGAAGCATTTCTCTATGATGACATAACTAGAGGATGGAAACAGATTGCAGACTCATCTTCAAGCAACAGTGCACTATGTTGTTTGTCTCCACTGCCATTAGATTTAGATTGGTTAAAACTTAATTTTGATGGATATAGCATGGGTGATGCAGGGCAATCAGGTGTAGGGGAATTTTCAGGAACTATGAGGGAGCACTTTTGACCATTTACTCAGGCTCTATATGCCAAGGAAACTCAATAAAGGCAGAGTTAATGGCATTATTATATGGACTGAAATTAGGGAGAACTTGTAACTACACTGATCTGATTGTGGAAGGAGATTCGAAAACTGTTGGATGGCTAACATATCACAATCCTGGTTCATGGTGTTACATAGGCAGAATATAGGTGGTGATGAACTTGAGCTTCCCATTCTCCATGGGTTCAGTTTTCCATGCTTTGTCGAGGTTCACTTTAATGCGGATTAAAGTTTTCATCAAATCACAGTTTTGAGCTGTGTTGGTCATCTTTGGGGAGATTGGGGAGACTGGAACTGTCCACCACTTAATATCCTTCTGTTTCCATTACTATTGTTGTGCAAGTTGACAGCAGTGTTTTAAAGGCATGCCTGCGCCTCACCTGAACCAAGCAATGTTTTAAAAGGTGTGCTTACTTCTTAGGTGTAAAGGCATGAACATTGCCTGAACCCAGGCACAGCCCCTTTCAAAAGCCATGTGCCTGATGCACCTAGGTGTGCAGTTGGTGTGCCTTGTGCCTTAGCCTAGGTGCTTGCTTTTTTTAACTTTTAAAACAAACGAAAGTAAATATCTTTTAAATACCTAAAGCCTTAATTCTTGCAAATAGGATCTCAAATGGCAAAAGTTCCACTAAAGAAGCAACAATAATACAACTAATGTATAATCCCTAAGCTGAAAATAGAATGAGCTGTGACTAAAACCCAAAACCTCTACATGGACATTTTTGAGTTTACCTTGAAGGGGTCTTTACAGAGGGAGGTTCGATCCCTAGGATTAGGAATGCAAGATGTTTAATGTTACACCTAGCAACTTGAACTAATGTAACTAGGAGATAAATAAACATATTGAAAGTTTACTTGTCTGAATTGTTGAGTGCTTGAATCCTTTTGGTCTGATCAATATATTTGCTTTCACTTTCATTTTTCATATCAAATATGTTTTATATGTTATCCTTGTATATTTTACTTTGAGCCAATAGGTCTTTCAGAATATTTAATTTATTTGAAAATTTTAGGTTTATTTTTTTATGAATTATTGTTATTTTTTATATTTCCTTTATTTTTTTTTTCAAAAATCTGCACCTTGCTTCAAAAAGGTGCTAACCTTTCCTTGAGAGGTATTAGAAGGCTCTTGTGCTTTGTGCTTTTAAAATACTGTGATGGGGATTTTGGCATTTTCTTTGTCATTTTTGTAGGCCTGGAAGCCTGGTCCATGCCCGGCCAGGCATGGCTCATGATCACTCATACTTCCCATGCTCAAGTTGAGAAAGGGAACTTTTGGTTCTTTAATTATTAAGGTCACGTGTGATTGAATGCAGTTTATGATTTTGTCCTGCCACATCAACCGACAGTGAAGGTCATAGCCAACCTTTGGTGATGGTGTAATGATCATCATCATTGTTATCAACAACAATAATTGATATTTGTTGCATGATCCTTCATCAATGGTATACCATTGTTCATGTGGTTTGACTATTGGTAAATTTAGTCTCCAGCCTACAATGGATGGGGATATCTCAAAGGGCGTTGGAATCACTGCATATTCTGTATTCACCTTTTTCTATTTGTCTATCTTGTTAACTTGTACAATGGATTGCATCAATCAAATGGTCCTGTTATATTGGCTGTGCTGTATCACTGTATGCAATAAACTAACTATATAAGAGCTGGTTGCTTAGTTTTCTTATTTGGAACATCAGCTCATCTAGGTCTAATTTGTTTGCATAATTTGTGTATCATGGATTTTTCTACACAGGTTCGGTATCAGAGCAGGAAGAAACTTGCGGAGCAGCGTCCCCGAGTGAAGGGACAATTTGTTCGCCAAATGCCCATGCAACCTTCCATCTGCTGATTTTGTTCCTTTAGTTGATTCGTTTTTGAGAGTGGACGAGATCTTTCCACCCCATCGGGGGGGTTGGAGCCATCCCTGAATGTGATGTGGATGGACCACTGTTGCGGAATTTCTCAGATTATGTAGTTTAAATTATATGCACCTTTTGTTTTGTTGACAGTTGTGCAAGTAGAAAGATGGTGAGGATAGGAGTTGTGAAGATGCCTGTGAATATCTTGTTTGGAATGCAGTCTTTTATTTTATAGACTGTAAATAGTATTGTAACTAGTCACAGCTCACAGGTGCTTTTCTCTGTCTCTAGTGTTTTTTTTCCCATATTTTTTCTTGTAGGTCAGTTCTTGTAGTATTATGTGTATATCGGTGGATAATTCGACTCCTAGGCTTGCAACTTGCATTCTTGTAAATGTATTGATGCTTGGATAGGGATTGTTGTATTCATGAATTCATGCTTCCACATTACAGATTGGTGCTAGAAAGAGGCTTTATGTTTTTTCAAGAACAACTATTCAACTGATTTCAGAGCTCTGCAAGGGGGCATTAGTTTGTTGGATTTTGAGAGGGTGGATGTTGGTCAATGGGATTTTGGTTTCCATCGATCAAGATACCCGTGTTCATTTTTCATATTTATGTGGGGTCTATGGATTCCTGAGAATCACTTATCTGGGTAAGTGATACTTATTTCTCGGGTGAGTAATTAACTTTTTCATCTAAGGGAAAGTTGTCTTGGATGGGACAAAATTGCCTCTTTTAATAAATAATTTTATTTATTTGAAAAATAAAAGAAATGGGTAAGTGTCATTTCCCCGGAAACACATGTTGGGTAAGTGAAGTAACTTCTCGAAAAGCAAATGGGGCCTAAAAGGGTTCTTTGAAGGGTGCAAGTATTGAGAATCAACTTGAGATGGATGTTGACAATTTGCAGTCCAAGTGAAGCAAAGGATATTCCAAAGCTTTTCCCTTGAGTTCCTGTTATGAGTAAACATCCAACGGGGTGATTGCGTGGATTTACTCAATTACAACCCACCATGTGTAAAAGGTGTGGAAAGTCGACTATAAATCTTTCATGCCAACTCTGACGGTCAACCTCATTTATCCATATGTCGGTGAAAGGTATTGCTTTTTCCATTCTCTTTTCCTTTCCTTTCCCCTCCGATTAAAAAAAAAAAAAGAAAGAAAAGCCCATCCCAGCCCAACCTTCCATTCTTTTCATTATATTTTTTGAAGTTTTATGGCTTTCTGGTTTTTATTTTTCTTCTCATCAAGTCCAAGATCCATCAACCATCAATCATAAACCGTGTTTATTGAAAAATAGGGGGCGGCCCGGTAGTCTTTCCATGTAGTCACGAACGAGAGTCGAGTGGCCTACTCAACTCAAGTTCGTTTCACTTGGCTTGATTGGGCAGGCACGAGTTTGTTGACCATTCCAACAAAGATGCTGTCATATATTTATTTTATTTTCAATTGGACTTACTTTTGGTGCAAATGATATCCAAAAATCCGAGAAAGGAATTTAACCGTGACAGATCGGATTTTACTTCATCGCTGGTTTTGGTAGAATATTTTACGTGGATGCAAATAAGAATGATTTTAAGCTCAATCCATTTGTACTTTTGTAGCCTTACCCTTAGCAATCAGAAGCAAGATATAAAAGGTCCCAACTCTACGTTTTTAATTTTAGAGTTGAAGATGTTTGAGACCCACCCCCGCACCTCTCGAATTTCGATGTGTAATTTTGCTCCAACGTCCCGCAATCGTTTACTCTAATTTTGTTATTTAATTAATGTAGTAGGATTTATTATATGTACTAAGCAGCATCTTAATGACTTGTTGTTGAAACTTGAAAGACCAATTATTTTTCCGATTTTTTTTTAAGCCACTGGGGGCCCACTTGGATTCTAGATCCATATTGTTTATTCCAAGTTTTGAACGCTCATGTACCGAAGACTGTGAGTCTCTCTCTTAATAAATGCCACACAGACACAGCCCCCAGGCGCACAGCAAAGCCTCGGAGTCGGAGATCCACCTAGGTGCTGGGCCTCCCGCCGTGATACGTGGTGGTAGTTCATCATCTCCATGCACCACGATCTGTAATAAGTTAAAAAAAAGTCTGATCTCTCTGTGTCAGCGTCAATGGTGACAACCTTAAATTCGTTGATTAGATAGACGCGTGGACTATTTCATCGTTCACTTCTACTCCTGCTAAGTAAGTTGTAACACTACATCTACATGATACACGTGCTGCCGTGCAGTGCATTAATAAGATTTGAAAGGAGAGGAAGAGCTATTTGTAATTGTGTAGTAGTGAGTGAATCCAGTCTTCACACCCCCCACCCGTCCGGTTCCATGCTTCCATTCAGTGGTGACTGGTGAGGAACCAATCTATCAGTGCCGAGTGCGTGAGAATATAGCATCTTTAATATTAGGTTAATAAAAAAGGCTAAACAAAAGCAGACACACAATGGAAATCCAACGTACACCACTGGTTTGGAATTCTTCATGGACCCACCTACAGCTACATGTACTGACAGCTATTTGGGGCCCACCCATATGAAATGACACAATTGTAATATATACGGTGTATCTGTAGTAATAAATGCATGGAAGGTCGCTTCTATACCTAAATCTAATAGGATATGGGACGCACCAAAAACTCAAAAAGAAAGGCAACAAATCAGAGTATCAGACAAGACATATAAGAAAAAGAAAAAAGAGAAAACACAAAAGATAAAAAAAAAAGAAGGTCCATCGTCCATTGATTCAATATTTCGTACAAAATAATTATATTATACAAATTCACAAAAAGAAAAGCACTTTAGTGGTAGAAGATTTGAAGCAGCAGCAGCAGCGGGCAGCAGCTAGCATCCGCAGAAGAAGACGACCCAATTCTCCCACTCCACTTTTATTCCAACTGTCAATGAGATTCCTTTTAAGGCTTCAACTTTTCCTCGCTCATTCGCCACGATCACCATCCACAGATCCACTCTTCTAAGTTTTCTTTTTCCCACGAACCACCTTTTTACTCCCATGTCGATCTCTGGCAGGTGGCAGGTGCGCGCTAGCTATATAAACCTTTGGAGTCTCCCAACGTAGCTGAAGAGAAGAAACCGGAAAAAGAGACCCCGGCCGGTAAGATGACCGAAGGTGGGTCTAAAGGCGGGGGAATGGTTTCTCGTTACGCACCCAGCGACGCCCGTCGCTTTGCCTGCACGTTCATAGTCGTATTTTTAATTTTAGCCGGTGTAACCGCTCTTATAGTATGGCTTGTATATCGTCCTCACAAGCCTCATTTCACGGTCGTAGGCGCCGCAATATACGATCTTAACATGACGTCCTCGACGATCATGTCCACCACCATGCAGTTCACGATCGTGACTCGGAATCCAAACAAGCGAGTTTCCATATACTATGACCGGCTCTCGGCGTACGTGTCGTACCGGAACCAGGCAATAACACCGCCGGCCATGTTGCCACCGCTGTTCCAAGAGACGCGCAGCACGGTGGCCTTGTCGCCGATGATGGGAGGTCCAGTGGTGCCGGTATCAATGGAGGTTGCGAATGGGTTGGTGATGGACGAGGCGTACGGGGTGGTTCCCTTAAGGCTGGTGGTGTTGGGGAGGTTGAGATGGAAAGCTGGAGCATTTAAGAGTGGTCACTATGGGATATACGTTAAATGTGACATGTTGGTGGGCTTGAAGAAGGGTTTTGTAGGCCAGGCGCCTTTGCTTGGATCCCCAGATTGTAATGTTGATATATAACTAACTAGACACTTCTTCTTCTTCATCTTTCCTTTTCTTCTTTTTTTTTTAATTGGTTAATTAGCTTTTTCTTTTTTCTTTTATTTTCTTTCTGTTTGTCTGTTTTTTACTTTGCATGTACAATGGTGTCTCATCACTTGCCACACCGACGGCGACGGCGACGGTGGTCTTCTTCTTAGAGAGTAGGAGATGAGTTATTGTGTGGTTGAGCTATCCTCATTCCTCGAGTAAGGAGGATATAATGAATAAAGGAAATAATCTATTTACTTGTTATTTTGAGTCGTAAATTACCAGCAAGAAAAAGAAGATATATATATATTCTGAGTGGCAACACCACCACTAGCACCGACACTCTTGATAGTGAGTGGTCATTGCTGCTAACTCTAGTCCGTCTCGATTCTAGCTTTTTTTTTTTTATCTCACGCTTCATTTAGGAGTGATTAAATTCGTGGAACAAGTTAGCAGTATTTTATTGTGGTTACTTCGCCAACAAGTACTGATTTTTGGGTTTTTCTCTTAATTTACTACCTCGTCACTTCATGAGTATTCGCTATTCAGTAGACTGTAGAGGCTTGGCTCGGATCGGATCTTATTACGAACGAAAATTGCCCCCACGGCCCTATCCCCCTCCGGCGTATTGGGTACGCTTGGCTCGGTAGCGTCGTTTGCCTGAAATGAAATCTATTACACTTTTTTTTTTGTCCTTGTTCTTGTAGTTATCCTACACTTCCCATTTAGGTGTGGCACTGGGCCACTGGCAGGTGTCTAACTACATGTGCGGGAAAGTTCAACTGATCTGAGTCGTACACGTGTCAAGGTCTCAATGTAAGACAAAGTCGAGATGCTGAGTGCAATGCCAGCTTGTCTTCTTCACCTTGACCTTGAGGTTCACGACGATGGAAGTAACCAATACCAAATTAATTACCAACTTCCCCAATTGAAATTGAAAGTTAGTAAGTTACAATACCGACCTTATTCCTTCATATATAAGGAACTAGAAAAGGAAAAGGAGGATGCTTCATGCTTGATTTCTCACCGGCAAATTTGAAACTTCGCTTCAATTGCATGGTTAGTGAATTAATTAAATAATATTTATAAAGGCAATGAATGAAGAAGATTGAAGACCCGACCGTAGAATCAAATCTCATCGAAACGAAACTTGAGGTTCTGGAATGTGATTGACGGGGGGTTGGGTTGGGTATCTGATTCGACTCGGTATTTTTTGGTAGTTGCTTTCCTAGCTACCTCCTATCGGTATCGGTATATGATGCAGTCATGCAGATGCCTCAGAAATCAGAATATTATATTAGGCGCTCTACTTCTCTACTCTACACTCAAATTAAAGTTCTCTCTTTCTCGCTCGCTGAAGTCCTTATCTTGTATGTAGTGGATGCTTATTCTAATTTATCTAAGGAAAAGGAAAGTGTGGAACGAATTAAGTAAAGAAAGAAGATCTAAAGTACATAAGTCACTGCCCCACTCCTTGTTTCCTTTGGCTTTGGCGAAATAATTACACATTATTTCGCTTCGCTCCATTGAGGCGTTGATCAATGCCGCGCCCTAATAAACTAGAAGATAGACATTAATTATTATAGGGTAAACGAATTTGACATGGTGTACGTATCCACCCCATTCATTAATATTCACTTCCTCATCATCTAGCTACTTTCTCTTTTGACCTCACCCTCTGCTAAACAATTATCCTGGGTCCCCTGAGGGAAAAAAAAGAGAATTAGATAGGTATTCACATCTTCTGGCTGTCTCCATTTTTATAAGAAACTGACTCAATGGGGCTGAGCTTGCTTGATTCATCTTGATGAAGCTGTCTCCATTTTGGTTTTATGTTCTTGAAGATAGGGATGCAAGTTGGACCCATTTTGATCGGGTTGAACTCAACCTTGACCCAACCCGAGGTTCCAAACCCCCCCAATCCTAACCTTAACCCACCCTAATCAACCGAGCCCAAATTCCCACCACCTTAACTCAATCCAACCCCACCCAACCTCTCATAGAATCTCTCAAATTGTTTGTCTTTGGTTAGCTAGAAGATTTAAACTAAACTTCTATGACCATATATTGATAACATTTTTATTGTATTTGCTTGTTTGATGTTTTTAATTTTTTTTATCAGTTATTTTAGTACAAAAATGAAATAAAGAATGTTTCCAATGATCAGAATTGATAAATCTTCTACTGAAAATCTAAAATCATAAAATCAGCAATAATAGAACATAAAATTATGAAATAAAAATCACTAATAACAAATTGCCATCAGGTTTAGGTTTAGGGCTAAAGAGTAAAGACAAATGGACTATCATAATATGTGATCCAATCCGAAGTGATCAAGTCAGGTTGGTAAAAGTCAACCCTAACCCTAACTTAATCATCAACCCAATTCAACACAGTCCAACCAAACCAAACCAAACCGACCTAATGTATTTGGTTTGGATTAATCAGGCCCAATTGTAGTACACTACTTGACATGGTAGAGGTTAAAAGATACTTTGTCGAGATGTAATAAGAAGAATAAGTATTCACGTTTGGATGAATTTTGTGCTTTGTTCAGGAATTTTTTCTAGTGGGTCCTACAATAACCTAAAGACTTCGTAAATGTCAATTGTTTTTTTTTTATTTATTTTTTATCACAACTATCCTAATTGTGGTTCGGAGAGGCCTTTGTGGCTTTGTGTTCATTTAGGAGGGCTTTCATGCAATGACTTCTAAAACCCACAAAGTCATGACTCCCTCAATAAAATCCAAAAAGTCGAAAATGGGCTTACATGGGCCCAAAAGTCAATTTACCAATGAAGCTATTGTAGTTCATAACTTATCGGAAGCAGCTCTATGCAGTTCAATCACTGCAGAAACCCTCTCCAACGAATTTTTTATATATGCAGTGTAAAAGTCAATTAAATTAGCCTAAAGATAAAATGCCTAAATTGACACCACACTCATATTTTCATTTAACTTTACTAGGATTAGGGAAAAAAAGCCTGAAATAATACTAGCTCCCCGCCTCTTGCTTTGTTTTATTATACTTGAGCTTATATGCATGCAGTTTACAATAAAATTCAAAGTATCAACACATATCGACCCGTATTGACTGATACTTATTGTGCCGATGGCTTCCCGATACACCCCTACAGGGGTTGTATCGGGTCAGACCATGATTCAGAGGGTAGCCAGGACTTAAACCGACCCCTCTGAATCGGTTTTAAAAAAAAATAAAACATAAAAAAAGTATCGATACAGGCTGACCAACGTATCAGCCTGTATTGATACTTTGAACCTTGGTTTACAATAAGAACTCTAAGATCTTAGAATAAAACAAAGTATATCCAAGGTGACAATTAATTTTGATGGTGTTAACATCATTTGGATTGGCATGGATTGTTTTAGAATTTTTTGTGCATTATTTGAATTTTCAAGATCAATTGAAATCTTGGTTGGGCTTGGAATTTTTGTCTTCGGATTGGGCTTGATTATTCTAATTTTTTGGGCTAGGCTTAACTTAGAATAGCTCAAACCTAGACCTAATCTAACTTGTTTTTTGTCTAACCATGGCCCAACCCAAATTGGCCCGACTTTAGATATAAAGATCAAAATTTCGATATGATACACTCTGTACCAGATATATCATATCGTATCTTTTAGGTTCCAAAATACCTATTTACAAGTGTTTCGAGAATCTTTTTTTTAATATATATAAAATTATAAAAAATATTTAAAAAAAAACTAAAAAATATATAAAAGTGCATGGTTTTTAGTACCCCTACACCTTTGCTGATACACATAGGTGTATCGATACTTTGAATCTTGTTTACATATATACAAATATTGAAAATAAACAATGAAATCATGGAAGGTTTTGAATACCTTGGGCTCAATAAGCCTGCCTGAGGGGCTCGGATGTGCTACCCACAAGTTGTTCCAATCTCTACCCACGTAACATTACAGTTGCATATTCGGAATATCTCCCTTGTCATTCATGAGAAGATGTTCCGAATCCATGGTGGTGGTGCTCTGTGGATAAGTATGTGGGAACAATTTGTGGATAGCAGTTCCTGAGTACTGTCTGAGCCCAACTGACCAATCTAAGACCAGCCTGAGTGTAAAATTTTAATTTAGAGTGGATTGGATTGGATAGATTGGGATTGACCCTTGGGCTTGACTCCAGCTCTGGTCGGGCTTGGGCCTGGTTTAACCTTAAACTTTGTTGTTGTTTTATTTTTATTTTTGGTAATCAAACGAAACAGAAGTTTGATGTGAACTATGCTCATTTCAGGATTTTGGGTAGCCCCAAGTTCTGATCTTTGTAGCAGTAGGACCCATATATAGATTTGATGGTTGTCTGTGATTGAATTTGATCGTCTTGCAAGTGCAACTGGCTTCAGAACATATGGGTGCAATTTGCGGAACGTACTCTTCACTTGTGTTGGCATAGGTAGGTTTTGCTGCGTAGCAGGAGTTGAATTAACCGGTCAAACATTTAATTGAACGGTGATTTTCAAATCAAACGTTTGAGTTGGTACTTGGTAAATCGTAGCCAATTTTGAATTCTGTTTTCGTTACTTGCTTGCAAGTCTGGATATATGAGCAAAGCTGAGAGATGAAATTCGAACCCTAAATTTCTATAGCCTGAAATAAAGACTAAAGATTGATATTCCAATGGTGGTCATATGGTATTCGCAACTTAGGATCCGTTTGGTTTGGCAGAATTAAAATCCCATTCTCATTCCTAGTAGAATGACATTCCCCCGTTCAAGGGAATGATTATTTCCTTCCCCTCTCTTGGGAATGAAATTCTATTCCATTTGATTTCAATTCCTATCTGAACTAAACAGACAATGAAAATATACCATTTCAATTCCGGCTATGAACCAAAACAGACCCTCAATTTTGGTAATGCAAGATATCTGGGTGGATAATAATGGCTTTTCTTTTGAACAGTTCCTCAAAAGGTGAGATTAGTGTAACTCCAATTGTCTGTTGGTATGAACTTGTTATTAACCCAACTAACCTGGACTCGTATGTATCAGCATGAGAGGCTTTGTGAACTTTATAGGAACTAGCCAGTAGCAATCAACTTTTCAAAATGTCTAAAACTCACCATATCAGTAAATTTTATTTTCCAAAACTCACCTTCCATTGGTGCACCGCTAATGCTTCTTAAGAGAGGTGTCCATGTCAACATAAATAACAATTTTCATGACTAAATTACCCTTGAATGGTGAGTTAGAGGAAAAATAGTATTTTTCAGTTTTCAAATTTCTTTTTTTTTGCATTTTTAGTGTTTTGTTATAATTTCCAATGTTTTTTATAATTTTTGTTTTTTTTACATTTTTCTATTTTCTACAATCTATAAATTTTCTTGTATTTTTGTTATTTGTTTACAATTTGTGTTTTTCTATAATTTTTGGTGTTTTTTCTACAACTTTTATTTTCTGATTTTGTTTATCAATTTCTATAGTTTCTATAATTTGAAAATAAATTTTTATTTCATTTTAAATTTCTATGATTTTTTATATTTTTTTGTAATTTCTATGTTTTTATATATTTTATATTTGAAAATATTTTTTTGAATTTTTTTCTCTTTTCATGTCTGAATATTAAAATGGTAATATATTAACACCAGTTAGTCTGTTTAACATCAAATTAGTGACATGGTGAGTTTTAGACATTTTGAAAAGTTGAGTTTAAGAGAAATGCTGAAAATTCATGGTAAGTTTTAGATAATTTCCCTTTTTTTTATAGAAATTGGCTTCTTTACTCTTAACAAGATTAGTGTAAAAGCTCTAAATCAAGTTCCGATAATTTTAAATAATTAATTCCAGCAAGCCAAGCAATTAGTCCGTACTCCTTGGGCCACAAGTAAGAGTGATGGACTTGGCCCACTTGGCTTTCTTTTTTTCACTTGGATCAACCCATTTGAGGTTATAGTGTCTTATAAGTAGACTCGTGGAGAGCATTGTGGGTAATGAGTTAAAGGATTAATTGAATGCAATAACTGTTTAGCTGTCTGTTGAACCAGCAGTTCTAACTGCCTACATAAGTCATAAAACATATGAGCCCACATAATATTGGTTATCATTAGTTCCACAGCCCACTATACAGCAGTCAAAACTCTTGTTAACTAATCTGATTATTTGGTTGAACCGTCTGAATAAACATTATTTAAATAAAAAAACACTATAAAGCTCACTGTAGTAGTACAATTAATTGGATGATCCATTTGTATAAATTATCGGATGATTCCTGCCTTCTTTCATGGGACTTAATCTCCAACAACAGTCAGGGGAATTAGTCGGTAATAGTATTCATGGCCTAAGGCCATTAAGATCCAGGTTTCATAAACTAGTAAATCAAGAGATGATCGTCTATACTGTACGTGGGTTGCAGTGTAATTCAATATGCTCCACCGACCCAACCCTACTTCCAAATTAGGATATCAAGCGGTTGTGTTTGACACGGTTTTGGATCAACCCCAAAACAAATTTGATCCAAACCCGATAGGATGGTATTACATTTACTTTGATCAAGTGGTCTAATGTTCTATTCTCATTGCCTCCATTATAATTAATTAAGTTTCAGTATAAGATATGGGTGAACCTATATTTGTTCATGCTTTAAGTCTAATGAACTTTCATGTGAAAAGACGTGTTAGAGAATAAAAAATTATTCAAAAACCTCATGTAACAGTTTAAGCTTTTAGGTTGAAAAGAGTTTACTTTATTAGTTTAAACCATAATTTTGAAAATCAGACTAGATCAGATGGTCAGACGGTTTGATCCAGGAATTAATCATGGTTTTAAATCCAGTTTTAGATATAAAAAACTGTTTGATCAGGATTTGAACCAAATGATGGGACCATTTGACCCTGGACCCGGTGGTCAATACAGTTCTGTTACTGAATCGGTTTTAAAACCATGGTTTGAACCCGATTAACAATAACCGGTCGGGTCAAAAGCATCTTTTTTTCATGTTTACATGACGTACCACTGTACCAGTAGGGAGGGACTAGGGAGTGGGACCAAAGCAATTGAATGGAAGAGAGAAAAGGCAATAATGAGACGATTCCCTCCGGCCCCAGGGATTGATAGTAATTGTATCAGGGTCAGGGCATGGTCATTGATGAGGACAAACGCTGTCATGATTGAAGGTGAGAAGCCACTCATCAATAATTAAAAAAAGAAAGGAAAGAAAAGGCAATATAAAGTAAAGTCCCCTCGCTCCCGATGTCAAACATGGGTAGAGCTCCACAAAACCCACTTTCTTCAGTGAGCCCTCCCTTTTCTTTCCTTAACCTAAAAGCAACTGCTGCGGCCAGAGATTATCTCTATCACCTCAAGTAGTAAGCTGATTTCAATGGGCTTCCACAAACTCAGCTTCTCTTCTTTACATGTTTTGCTTCGGCAATCAAGGGATACAGCTGAAAGAAGGGACAAAAATATCAGGAACTTCTATTGACCAAATTGTCCTTCGTTTGCACTTTTGTAGATGCATTTTCCACATAAATTAAATAAATAAAGCAAAGCTCTGAAGTCTGAGGATCAAGATCAACCATTGATTCTTGCTTGGAGAAGGTAACTAACTCTCATGGTATGGAACTATGGAAATGGAGACCCCATTAAGTAGATATATATATATATATATATATATATATATATATATGTATTATGTAGTGGTGGTGGGGATTATGAAGTCCTCTAAAATCTAAATATGCTACTTGTGGGGTTCTAGCTAGAGTCTATACTGCAACTGTATATTAATTAAAACCATGTTAGACCAAAGAGGGCTAGAACAAACCCACTTTCCAATATTAATCAAAAATCTTTGGTGCATGGTACTTTTATCAAGCATGAACCGTCGCTTTTTTTTTTATATTTAATCACATATGTAGGGCGGGTGAGATGAGCAGAGCTGCAGAGAAAGTGAATGCATTACTCAATTGTGTGCCTTCAATCTATGAAAAAGGCTATTTACTTTGTTCCTTATTGGCTATTCTCTCTCTATGACTCTATCTCTTGCTCCTTTAAATTAATCATTTTGATAGGCACTTGCTCCTTTAATATAGTGCTTCACTTTCTTCTCAATTATTCTAAAAGTGACTCTATCTGACTCTGGTTGGTTCCAAGTATATACATACATGGTGAGTAAAAGCACCATATCGTGTTGGATTCCTCTAAGCGAATACAACATTGGATTGAAACCTTTAAATTCTGGATCAGACCACCAGAGATTCCAATCCTAGAGCTTTTAGCCAAGGGAGACTCTCTCTCCCTCTCTCTAGGGCGCATGTATATTCGGCAGATAAGATGCTATTGGGACTTTGGGACCCGTCATGTATGGATATCCCTCATGTGCATGGTGCGTGCCATGTGCCCATGTCGTATCGTATGTGCACCATCAAGTGGGTTATATATCCATCCATTTCTACCCGTCAAAGCTAGAGATGCACAGAATATACGAGGTATGATGATTCCGATGGATACAATACAAATACTTATATGCTTTATGTTATGTCTTATGTATCACGTACGTCCCTTAATCACGTAAGGCGGCCAACTTAGTGAACGGATGAGATGCATGTATGGCGGGTCCGTCCATTATATATCCATCTATAGAGTATAGATGGTATATTAAGCTTAATTACTTTAATTCAATATATGTTTCAGAATTTTAGGAGCTTCCAGAGAGGCCAGAGGACGTAATATCTCTCTCTCTCACACACACATGATACATGAATGAAGAGAAGAAGAAGAAGAGGTGGAGGAAAAGCGGCGATCACTAAGTTGCTATCTACCAGTCAAAAGCTAGCGGTAGAACGAAATGATTGCTGCTTTCTGTTGTGCTTGTGCACTCCTCTCTATTATTAACACCTCCCCACTTCACCCTACTTCGTCTCTTGGCATTCTAAGCTTTGCTTCTCTGGCTTCTAGCCTTGTAATTCCTTTTAGCTTCGATCTCTTGCAAATGTCTCAACTCCCAATAAAATCTCCTAAACACTGCGCCAAGCACGGACTGAACGTAGACAAGCTCTACAAGAGACTCTTTTACGCCTTCTCCACCTTTCTCATCTCTGTTCTCTCCGTAGTCTTCCTTGTCTGGCTCATCCTTCGCCCTTCCAAGCCTGAATTCCACCTCAAAGAGGCTGATATTTACCAGCTCAATCTCTCAGGTCCTCACCTTCTCAACACTTCCATACAGATCACTTTAGTCTCCAAGAACCCAAATCAGAAGGTCGGCGTTTACTACGACCAGCTCCAAGTTTATGCATCTTACAAGGGCCAACAAATTACTCTCGACACTTCTCTCCCTCCTTTTTACCAGGGACACGAGGATAGAAACCTCTTAACTGCGTCTTTAGTCGGAATCGGGCTTCCAGTGGCTCCGTCCTTCGGTTATGAAGTGGGTCGTGACCAGACGACGGGTAAACTGATACTAAGTCTGAAAGTGAACGGACGGCTCCGGTGGAAGGTAGGGACGTGGGTCTCCGGGCGGTATCGTTTCAATGTTGAGTGTGTTGCCATCATGGCCTTTGAACCAAACGCTGTGTCCAGTCCACTGAGTTCCAAACAAGGGACTCAGTGTTCTACCAGTGTTTGAATAACAACCACCAACAAGCTTCAGATTGATTTTCGAAGCAAGTTCTATGAAGTTTTCGTTGATTTGCATTCTGCAGCAGGTATAGTTTGTTATTTATTAATGCTAACAAAGCCTTGTATAATAATAATATTAATATTAATGAAACATAAGATTGAAACTTGGAAGCGTGCATAGTGGTATCTGGACTGCTACGTTTTTTCTTGTCATTTTAACTTGTGTAGTTTATGGGGCTGGCCGGTTGGGGCTTATGAGAAACAAGGTACAGACTGAACTCTATTCAACTTAGCCTTAATCCCAGTTAGTTGGGTAAAGATAACTTTTACCAAACTCTAATGAAGAATCAGACTGAAGATATTGTTACATTCTACTTTGGTAATTGGCATCCTATGTGTAAAAGGAGATGGGATAATAACTGGCCTTTGTGATGATGAGATTCCAAGAAAGAATAAATAAAATATATAAAGGGCTGGAAATCGGTCACTTTTCTTGGCCAAAGAATCTTTAATTTCCATGTCACTTCTCCTCTTTAATGGTACCGATCTGACCAGGTAGACACAAAAAATTGGCCATTGGGTTCATTTCTGCTTTGGAATTTCGTACGTAATTTTCTTTCTGCCTTGTTTTGCTTTCAGATGATCATATATTAATGTATATATTAGGGTCTAACTCGTCTAAAAAGAAAGATTAAGCTCATGATGAATTTCGTTTAGATAGTGTTCACAATTAATTTTTAGTTGAAAACTTTTTTCATGCATTATACAATATTTTAAGTTCTTCAGTCTGATTGGAAGGAGAGCAACTGGATGGATAAACCCACCTAGAATTCAACTTCTCAATTTTCATTGTTCTGAAAATGACCATTTTACAAGCTTAGAATGGTCATTTCATTACAAGTTGAATGAATACACAAAGCTTTAAGCAATTTGGATTAGCATTACGAATTAGCACCCTTGGGATTTGTTTGTGCTTGGCATCGCTATTTCTAAATCACCGAGTTGATACTTGTTAGTGGTCGATTGGGCCCTTTAGCCGGTAGGAATAGGATGGGCTCTCAACAAGTCTACCAAAACATGGGTTTCAGACCCAGAAGGAAATTTGGCCGAACAGTTCGGACTTCGGAAAACTAGGCCCAGTTTTATGCGCATGGGTACCAGCAACAAGCGGTTTCAGACTAGTAGTAGTGTAAATCAAACTATAGTCAAGGCTTTAGTACTTGAAACCGTGGGCGAGAAGATCAGATCAGTGCGTCATAGAGGGCGCCCTACAAGCACCCCCACAGCACCTCCCACCCGTGTATTGGAAACAAGCGGTTGCAGACTAATAGTAGTGTAAAGCAAACTATAGGGGCTTTAGTACTTGAAACCGTGGGCAAGGAAATCAGATTAGGGTCCCACAGAGGGCGCTACACAAGCACCTCCCACCCATGTACCGGGAACATCTCCCCATGACAAGTGAGATTATATCAGCGCCTCATGCACCCACATGCACATCTCTGCATGCATTGAGAACATCTCCCCATGACAAGCACAAGAGATGTTCCCAATGCATGATGAGATGTACACGTGGGAGAGGGCACGAATGTGATCTCGTGGGCGAGAGGGTTTTAAATCCACTTATCTGAAATGGTGCCAACTGAGCGCCAAATGGGCATTTCCCTCAAGGGAGCTTGAAACATTGTTATATTAAACAATTTATTAAAGAAACATTTGTCTCGGTTTGTATGAAAACCATCTGGTGGGGTTATTTTTGATGTTTTCCTCAACACATTTTTTTTTTCAAATGTGTTGAGGAAAACATCAAAAATAACCCCACCAGATGTGTTGGGAGAGCGCCAAATGTGATGTCTAATGCCATTTACTTGTCAAAAACCATTTAACTGTCATACAAAACATTTTTTAAATAAACGGCAATGGCACTAAACAGCCCTTAATAAATGATCAAAAAATAATAATAAAAAAAAAGTAGATTTCATCATTAAAACTTAAAACTCGTCCGATTAGGCTGACTTTTTAAATAGCTATTGGTCTTGTTAGGACCTGGTTAATGGTGGCAATCCTTCAATTTTTTACATGTTTTATTATATGTAAAATGTAATTGAATTTATTCAATGTGCTATTGTTTTAAAACCCTTGCTAGAATAAAAATTATATTTATATTTCTAAACGTGTCTAAATACTTTTTAAGTTAATCTTCTGTCATATGTAGTTAAAGAGCCGATGACATATAATGATCGACTGAAACGAAAAGCATCTGACTAGGTACCCCACTACCCCTGACAAACACTCAAACAGCTTCCTTGCCATCAAAGAATACAATGGCCAACCAAAGAATATAAGAATATCCACAAGCATGGACATGGTGAACCATGTCCAAACATTTTCAAGATACATCTATTATTAGCATGGAGCAGCTTACATGTCAGCACTCAGAATAGTTTGGGGCCGAGGAGACATGTTCAGATGGTAGTCTCTACAAAATAAGGCAGCAAGATATGATTTAAAAATGAAGGTTTTCATCATGTTACATACTACCCAAAAAAAAATGTCTGCAACTGAGGAACCACCTTTACAGAAAGAGGTGAGAAAACAGTATTGTCCCAAAGCTACCCATAACCGACTGACACAAGTAGCCACAATATTTCACATAGGGCTGCAAGTCGGAGTCGGGTTGCCCGATTTGAAAATTATCAATTATATGGGGCTTGGGTTAGGGTTTGATCCCTTTGAAAATTTAACAATTTCCCAACCCAACCTGATCCAAGTTGCACCCCTAATTTCACACCCTCCAATAAGATCAGTTTTCAGTCAGGTAAGATCTAAGTTAGATATCTACATCTCATTGATGGTAGTGTATATATATTGACACATCCTGGCATTTATACAGGAATAATAAGAGCTGATGGAATTACAAATCAGCAAATTGGCAAAGATACTCAAAAGAAGAAAAGGTGGAATTTACCAATACAGACATGTCCTTTTTGTTCCTTCTATGTGAGAACCAAATACATGTTGAGCATGGGATTTGTCTTGTTCAACCTTCTCACATTATCCCCAGAAACCAATTCATAGTGATCATATCCCCATATCATCAGCTTTCCATCCTGTCTATACCTTCAAGGCTTCAACCTGTAGGAGGTGAATGATTCCTTCTGGCTGACACTGTTTCTCTACCATTACTCTGCTAATACATCAATGGTGTTGTCAATACCGACCCTGAGTAATCCAGGAGAACGGTATTGCAGCTGGTAACTTTGTGGGTAAGATAACACTACCTTACATGCCCTCAACAACCCCATCTCTCCATCCATGTTCTACCATTCAATCTTTAGACAAGCAGGATATTCAGAGCTATAAGTAATCTTATCAGGTTCAATTACATTTGGTCACCATTTTGACTTTTGAGGCAATCCTTCAACCTGTTCTACTACCAAGCTCCTTGAATATCTTCAATGCCTAATCAGCACCGACTATTATAAAGAGCTGTCAATTGTCATTCATGTTAAAATTGACAATATGGGAAACACCAACCAAATCAGAACATTGAAGACTGATAATTGGGACAATTGGTTTTTACCAAACCGGCTAAAATTTCTCAAAAATCAGACCAACGATAACATCTGTTATGGATTTTCATCCAAAAAAAATTGACACTGGTTAATGTGTTCAGTTATTTCCTTCCAAGGAGTCTCTTTAATGTGGCAGGTGCTCTGATCGCTGATTCAACATTGAGAGACACTTCAGCCTTTGGCTCCCTCCCTCTCTCCCCTTCAAATCTATCATACCATAGTTGCCCTTCCTTAAAATCCCGTATAACCAAGCTGCTCTTAATTCCTAATACATCCCTCACGTTCTCTTTCTCTATCCCAAAACTTCTTTCCTTTTACAGAAATTCTCTCCCCTATCAATAAAATCTTTTTAGGGGTTAGCCCCACCATTTATTATTGGACGTTTTTTTTCTACTCATGCACATGCACAGGTCTGTCAGTCTGTACCTCAGGCTCAGTTTGAAAAGAGTACAAATACAAATATGTACAGCACAAATACATACAAAATAATGCAAAAATACAAGGTTTTGTACTCTACATATTTGTAGTTGTACTCCTTCCAAACTGAGACTTAAAAATTCATTAAAAGTGACCAAAGCTGGGTCAGTTGGTAAAATCTGAGACATGGAATAAACCATTAGCCAATATATTACCCAGCTATCCTGTCCAACATAAATAAACAAATGTTTCTCTATATAAAAGGTGAGATGTCAAAATTTTATCAGTAAGTTTTCAACATGAAAACCCTCTTTCTAATACTAGAAGCAAGAGTTCTGAGTCCAGAACAAAATTTCAATCAGAAACCTTTCTGCCTCAATTAAACATTCTAAATATTCACCACATACTCCATACTATTCTTGCCAAATAAATTCTAGCAACTTCCACCTAAACATATTCAACTAAATAGAGGAGACTAGTCATGATCTTGTGCACCATCTTATTAAGATAACACTATCTTCTGAAGATTGCTCAGCTTCTTTCTCCTTTCTAAACAATTGATAACAAGATAACAAGATGATGAAGGCAACCTTTCTCACTGTTTTCTTTTTTGAAAAAGGTAACTATTATATTCAAAAATTTCAGCTTCATAGGCATCGCATAAGAACCACCCAAATTACAAAGGCAAAGTGTTTGCACTATATAAAAAAATTCTATCCACCCCAGATTTGGCCAAAAGATCAGAGAAGAGGAAATCTCACTAATCTCATTGAGGAAACGACCCAGTTTCTATGGGCCCTAACCAAATGGGTAGCGGGTAGTCCAACCAATAACATTCCTAGAGTCCCCCTCAATGAAAACAGAGTTAAGCTGAAGTGATTTAACAATTCTCAGGCCAGTCACCAACACCCTAACTTCAGCTTCATAGGCATCAATGGATCCAACCGGTCCACTGAAAGCCCAAATCACATTGCCCTCTCTATTTAGAATAAGACCCCCGATGCCAGCCACAAGAGGCAAATTTGAGATTGATCTACAATTGCCATCAAACATCATGAAGAAACCTAGCTCCGGTCTGGCAGTGAGAGAATGACTGGGCAGACTGTCAACATGGGAGGAATGTCAGCATAACTGAAGCCTTTTTTAAACTGATCAGAGGAGAGCAACTAGTATCCACTTACTGCTTGTGTGAGTTTCTCTATTATTATATTTACCTTTTCTAAGAGAACTACAAATTAACCCCAAGTTCAGGGTTAAGGTGCCGAACAACCAGTTAAAAATCATGGAACTAAATGCTCAATATACACTTAAAAATATTACAGGGGAGGAAGGGAGAGAGAGAGAGAGAGAGAGAGAGAGAGAGAGAGAGAGAGCAGATGTATTATTGTGTCGTTAAAGTTTCAGGGAGAATTGTCTCTTCATTCATCTTTTGGGGAGTATTTCTCTCTTAAAGAAAACCAGATTTGTTAGAATTGCAAGTTCAAGCATGTCAAGGTGATACGGGTATGGGAGCTGTACTCATAATTATTTAAACAGATTCAAATGCTTCGTTTGTTACTAGCACGGGATGGAATCAAAGAGTGATATTGCAAGGATTCTTAACCATGCAGGAAAGAGTATTAAACTGATGGTAGATGAGAGGATTTTATTTTATTTTATTTTTAGTAGAGCCATAGTTTTCAGGGCGCCAAGGTGAGGCTAGGTGACAGGGGGCGCCTTGTAACCTAGTTGCCTAGGTGTCTAGGCGATGGATTATTTTCCAAGTAAAAATGTGTATCCTAGGGTAGATCCCTAGGTTCCATAATCATATTTCCTTTATAATTATCCATAATTTTCATAAGAAAAGTATAAACTTCATGTTAAAGTATAGAAAATCAACATATTCATGAGAAAAAAAAGAAGAAGAAAGAAATGAAATTTCAAAAAATATGGGGGCTGAACCCCCATTTCTGTTATAGGAAAATAACTAAAGAAAAGAAAAAGTGGAAGAAGAAAATTGGTATATAGACACACAAAATTAGTAAAGAAAAAGAAGTAAATGTGTTGATTAGACAACATTTTAAGTTCTCCCTTATTGATTCAGGTTTTGAAGTCTTTCAGGGTTCAATACAGCATTTAGCAATGTTTATGTTGATTAAACCCTAACAAATAAGAAAATAATAAAAAGAAATTAGTATATAAACACAAAATGAATATTTTAGTTTAAAATGTCTATTTTAAAATTATAACCTCAAAAAATTAAGAAAAGTTTTTTCTAACACGCTATAGAAAACTGCTTGGTGATTAGGCGAGGCAAGCCTCCAAGGGTGCCTTGTCACCTAGGCATCGCCTTGACAACTATGAGTAGAGCTTAGCAGATGCCTCAGTGAGATGTCAAACAACATATACTTCTAGAGGCATTCCCGTACTCCATCTTTATGCACAAAAGGTAAGGCACTAAGGCATTATATTACATAACATGCTTCTAGAGGCATTCCCATACTCTGTTATTTTTTTGATGAATATTCCCATACTCTATTATTCCAATGGATTATATCCTAAAAGGATGATAGTGCAACCAAGGTTGCTTATTCTATTGTTAGCTCCGGTTGTTTGAATTAATTGAAGTACCGGTATTGGTTGACAATGAAGAGGAAAAAGATTTTCTTTTTGCCAACGGACTAGCAAACCGCATCCCCATGCATACACAAATTCTAAATAGATAAGTTTTTCACCACCAGTTCAAATATGAGGAGGGACAGAAAAGATTGATAAAGAACGTACATGTATTGTTTCATTCGATAAGCTTTATGTTTCAATTGTAACAGAGATTATTGGAGAGATAAAACAGATGTGATAGTTGTAAGTATCATTGCACTTGTACAAACTCAGAAAATGAATAATAGTAGATGAAACATGGGCAAAAAGAAAAGAAAAGAAAAGAAAAGAAAAGGCAAACAAAAATGATGAGAAGATAAGCTCAAATTCACCAGACAACAACTAACCTTCTACGGTAACATCAACAAACAGAAGAATCAGGGCCAATCCATTTCCAAAAATGCCTCTTTACAAAGACGGCCTTCTCTGCAATCTTAGTGTCACAAGAATCCCCGTACTCCTCCTCCTCCTCTGTACAGAAGTCCCCTTTGGGCAACCCCTCGACCCACGCATCCACCGAATGCAAAACATATCGAGCAGGCAAACCCGGATACGACGCCGAAACCCGCTCCTCCACCTTTGTCTGGTATGAACCAGGCACGATCCTGACGAGGCCACTGACATCGACGTTGCCATAGGAAGCCCGAATTATGGAACCAAGCTCCTCGCTTACGGCCCTCGCGACCGCATCTTCAATGCTCTCACCAGGCTTCATTTTTTCAGATAAGGGTCGGCATCGTTCTCGGACGGTGCCGTCCGACAGTTCTTGGTGGGATTCAAGGAGAACCCTACCATGGGAGTCGAGAATTCGGACTGTGGCGACGTGAACGGTGCGGAGGGGAGGGGTGGAATCGAGAAGAGAGGTCTCGCCCTGGGAGAGCTCGAGCCAGAGATTGTGGACGTTCTTGGTGCCGGGCTTGACCCCCCAAGAGGAGAAAGAGTCGGAAGGCAAACGCGGCTTGAGCCAATCGGAGAGGGATTGTGGGGTGGAGAAGTGGTTGAGGTTGGGGTCCTTTGGCTTGGTTTGAGACATAATGGTAATAGGGCTTTTGAGGAAGAGGCGACGTGGGACGGGAGGTAGAGAGAAAGGAGGGATTTTAAGGATGAGATGGTGAAGTTTAGGGGAAGTGGAAGAGAAGATGAAGAGAAGGGAGAGAGCCGTTAAGAAGAGATCAGGGAGTAAGGCGGGTCTGTGATGATGATGGGGTTTATTAGGGATGCTGTTGTTGTTGCTGCTGCTCCTGATTGGAGGAGACATCAATCCAGTGGTGGTGGTGCTGCTGCTGCTTCTGCTTCTGCTTCTGTTGTTATCGTTATTTCTCTCCTCCTCTTGACGACGTACTCTGACGGCTCCATTGGATTTAGATCGAACCACGAACGCGAGGAAGAAAAAAAAGATTGACCTATGATTTTTCCTTTTTATTCTCTTCTTTCGGTTCGATGATAAAATTGATAATACTATTACGCGATTTGCTTGTTTCTCAATCCTCCGTAGCCACTCTACAATAAGGTCCTGTTTGGCAATGTTATCACTTTGTTTCTGTTATTTTAGAAATTTCTGTATAGAACAAAAATTTTAGGGTAAATTACAAAGACCTCTTGTACTATGGGGTTAGTGACAAAGTCTCTCATGTATTTTTTTTTTGCAACAAAGACCTTCCTGAACTTTAGTCATTAGACAAAGACCCCCTTGGCCGTTAAGTCAAATGACAGAAAGCATTAAATATCAAAAATACCCTATTAATTTTTTTCTATTTTCTTTTTCTTGCCCTAAATACCCCATTAAACATTTTCTACTTTCTTTTTCTTGCCCTTCTAATTCATCCTTTTTCCCATCTTCATCATAAAAGGGGTCCCTTTATTTTGTTAATGGTCTCCATTGAATGTTTCAAAACCGTTGTTTTTATTGTAGCCATTTCACCTAACTTTAATGGAGAAGACAATGAATAGTATAAAAAGGGTAGTTTGGACATTTAAAAAACTTTAAACAATCGGATGAAAATTTTTTCGAAGTTAACTAACAGAACATTAACGAAAGGGGGTCCTTGTCTAACGACTAAAGTTCAAGGGGTCTTTGTCACAAAAAAAAAGTACAAGGGGGATTGTGTCATTGACCCCATAGTACAAGGGGGTCTTTATAATTTACCCAAAATCTTATTTCTTGTTCCTCGGGAACAATAGAGGCTTTTGGAAAATTATTTTTTGAGAATGGATTTTTTGTTATATAAAAACAGAAATAAAGTTTGAATAACCAAACTATTCCTTAACACCAATTTTGCAAATCCATTTACATTAAACATAAAATTAATCATACAAAACATGTGTCATGTCATAACGATGTTTCCATGTTATCACCATTTAATCCTTGATTGTTTGAGGATCAAAACAAAACATACAACGAATAAAACAAAAGTCTAACATGCCATGATGCAACAACACCTGCAAGTAGTAATGACTACAAATTGGTCCCTATTTCGTGCAATTGGTTGTTCTTGCACTTCAACATGTTTACCACAATTACAAGGTATGAATTGGTCTCCCCATGTGAAATCATTTTCAGGTGCTTGCTTATAAAAAAAAGAAGAAACTCTATTATTAAAATCCAAAATATTTCATAACAAAAAACATATATCTGATAAGAGATGTACCACTTCAATAGGGCATCAATAGAATCAGTGTCCATAATTTCTCTCTATTTTTTAAATAAACAGATGCATTCGGCTATGTCCACAAGCACAAATTCTATGTTGATTCTTGACTTGCATACTTCATTAAAAAAGTAAAATAAAAGACAGGCACATTACATGTAAAGGTTATCAAATGTATTTAGCAAACTATCATCTTACACAACCCATTCATAACCAAAGTGTGAAATTCTACTAGTCATTGCCTTACACTACCCATTTAACAAACCATAGCTATTTGATTTGCAATTTCTCATTGATGTTTTGCCATTTCCGACACATTATTTGCATTCACTTCATTATTGACCGGTTGATGTCCACCATCTAGATCATCTTCCACTTCAAGATTCCCATTCCCATATTCATTAAAAAGATCATCATCAACCTTATCTCTCTTAATTTCATCTCGAACAAAGTCGTGAATACATATGCAGCTACCACTATCTTGCACTGTGTTCTCAAAGAAAATGATGGCATGAGTTTTAAGATTGTAAATCTTGATTTTAACACACCAAAACACCGCTCTATGCAGTTATGCAAGCTTGAATGCCTGTAATTAAACTCCTCTTTTGCACCCCTTGGTCGACAAATGGCATCTCTCTTCTAGAAATGGCACAAGAAAACCAATTTAGCTAAGGAACCCCGAATCATCACGTAATATTTTGCTATTATACCAAAACACACAGCTAAATATTTATCACATTTGTCGGAAATTCAAGAAATTACATTGCGGTGGGAGGGGAAAATTGACACCGAGTCTAGTTAGTGCTTCCCAAAAAAACACGTGAATTATTTATAGAGTCTTCCCATCATACATACACAAATGTAAAAGAAAATATCAAAACCACATACGCATAATATATACACATATTAAACCAGTTTGGAAAATGCATACTCAACACTTCAATTGATTATCAATTTTGAGTAGATGCTTTTAAGAATGGTGGGTAAAATCAAATCAGTGCTCTAATTGTAAAAACAAACCTTGAATCTATGTTTCTGAACAATGCGAACTCATGCTTTAAAAAATGAGGGGCAAATAGTGGCTGCATGGCATGTTGCGCTGATTACTAAAACCCTTAACATTTTATTTATATAACTATTATATCCACTAAAAACACAACAATAAGCCATTCAGCCTTTATGAAACTGCTTACCTAGCCAATCTGGTGTACATAACTTGGATGGTTTTATGACGAACCAAAAGGACTTTTCCGGACTGTTACAGATCAATCCTACTGGTGTTCATTTTGTTTCGTGCTGTTTTGTCAAGCTTTCAAGGCCAAACAATTCTTAGGCACTTGATGTAATCAGGTCTGTTTCTTACCCTTTTATCTTGTTTTGTTAAACGAGACATCTGGTTGTTTCCCTATCGTGTGTCAGGATGTAAATAGCTAAACCACTTGATGGTCCTAATTTTCACATAATACTGAGCAAATCGTCATGGTTAGAAAATCAACCTGACTAATCGACAGCCATTGAAGACCTATAATCATACAATCCGTTAGCATTTGTTTAATTTCTTTTCTTATTATTTAGAGGACCGGGGGCGGGCTGGATACCCGGGGATCTAAATCGGCACTCCAACTATCATCCTCACATCTGTGCAGTATTAGGAAATGTTTCACCAAATTGGTGCATTTGGACTTGAGCAAAACCAGCCACTCTCTAATCTGGTTTTGAGTGAGACTTCGGAGGTGCATTTGTACTTACTAAAATAAACTAGGACTTAGTGATGATGGGGACTTAGGTTTTTTATCAATAGCTTGAGTTTGTGAAGATAACAACAAAAGAGAAGATGCATTTAGGAAGAAAAAACAGATCATGGAAAAAGTTTTAGGACGAAAAAACAAAGCATACAAAATTAGAAATGCCAACAATGAAGAAAACCTTACATGTGTATGAGATTCTGATTGGAAAATGATCATGACACATGATAAACTCGTCATTTGTTGTTGGTCCTTGATGCAACTCACTAGGTTTGTAGCGGGAGCATCAGGAACAAATGAAGAAGATTGCTCGATGACTAGGGCTTGGAGGGGTGGAGTTTATGTCATCAATGCAAAATGACGGTGTTGCCCCTTCTCTCAAGTGGGAACACTGCATTCGTGTTCATAAATAAATTGGGATGATGTGGGAACCGCATGTTCCTTGAGAACGTGTTCTTCGGGAGTGTCGATTTATCACTCCCAAAGAACACGTTTTTTGGGCACTATTGTCACTTGGGAATGACTTGTTTCTCGCATTTGTTTTTGAACCAAAAAAAAAAACACTCTTGCAGAATGTTGCCAAACAAGGCCTAATATTCTATTCAATCATTTTCTAATTTTGACTCTATCTTCACTTCACCGTTCACCACTCAGTAGTCTAGATCATTTGCCAACAAAACAGATTCCAACTCTCTACCAACACGGTCTCACATCGCACATCTCATACATGGCGGGTCCCATTTTTGTGGTGGGTTCCAGTCTGGTGGCTGGTGGTGAGATATGCGGTGTTAGATAAAATTGGTAAAGGGATGGAACACGTTTTATTGGCAGAAGATCTCAACTCGTCACTACCACCCCAATGAGGGATTTTCTTGCATGTCAAAAAAAGGGAGAGAGATCCACTAGATCTCTAAATGTTGAACTTGTCGCATTTTTCGAAAGTCGTACCCCTTTAGAAAACTTTAGTATATGTTTGGCATCAATGGTGCATATACAGCACCGTTTTCTAAGAAAACAATGTCTTTTTTTTTTGGAAATGTTGTTGCCAAGTAGGATGATTCTTGGGGCAACAACAACACCTTTTGTTTGGTACTAGTGCTCCATATATGTTTTCAGCACTAGTACCCATTATAGGAAGTCCACGTCACCAGACCATGCCTTCTCGATTTCCAAGAGGTGGTTTGGAACACCGTTTGTTATGAAAAAACGGTTCCAAACATGTTATTGTTTTCTACAGCACCATTCAATTACTAACTTGACTCGACCCTTAAAGCTCAGGGTAATAAAGTGGAATTTTCTCATTTGTTTATTGTTTTGTAGGGATGCAAACGGATTGGATTGGATTCAAATCAGAGTATATTCGAATCCGATCTTAAGAACCAATCAGATCTAATAGGACTTGATTTGAATTTGAATCCTATCGGTAAGTCGGATCTTCGGATTTGATCCGATCCGATATGTTATCTTTAAAAATTAATAAAATATTAAAAGAAAATTAAAGTAAAAGAAAAAATACAAGTATTTTTTAACTATTTTCATCATATATATACATATTTTTATAAAAAAAAATAATATAACAAATTTATAAAAATATAATATAAAAAATATATTTATAAGTAAATAAATAACATATATATTATATGTATACTTATATTTATAAATATATAGTATATTCGGATCTTCTCAGATCGGATATGAGCGATCCGAATCCAATCCGAAGATCCGAATATGGTGATCCAAATTCGACCAAATCGATCGGATGATCCGGTCCATTTTGCACCCCTAAATGTTTTGTTAAGAGATAAGACGACTTCGGGGGATTAGTTTAGCGTGCCTGTGAGTGTTCACTGTAATAGTTGTAGTAGTATGTTAAAACGTGACTCCACCCAATCACGCGGGGCCACATATCCAGTTATTCACTTCCCCGTTTCCCAAGCAAAGAAGAACCCCCACCGCACCGACTGGAATGAAGAGGCGGTTCCGGCTGAGAGAGCTGCGAGCACCGACCGGAGGAGCAGATGGTGAGGGTCTGACTTCTGAGAGAGGGAGAGAAGGAAAAAAAAAAGAAACCCAATCGGTCAAGGCTTGAACTTGTTGGAAGGGACGGGTTCCTCCCCCTTTCAACAGAAACAAAGTTCGACTGCTTGAGTTAAGCACTACATGCATACATGGAATCGTTTTATCAGACCAGATCGGAACCAGTTCTGGAGGCGGAGGGATTGCTTACTCTTTCTGTTGAATTAATTATTGATCAATTAAACAACACCCCATAACTGAAAAATCACATTTCTAAGATGATAACTAACAGGAGCAAGATATATAGTTGTTAATTAAATGGCAAGGCAGAGATAGATAAAGAGAGAGATCAGTATTCATTACTTCACACAAAATGTAATTAATGAATGCCCTCCTCCTGCTTTAATATTTCAAACTCGACAAATCCATCATATTACATCAAAAGATTTCCTCACCGAAGAGGTAAGAAAACCTTTCCAACATCCATGGATCTCCTCCTCCTCCTCCTGCTGCTGCCTTTGAATGATCCCCTCCACCACGACAGGGCAACAGCTTGGACCTACACAAAGGGCATGTCAGTTGGCTCCCATCCACCCACTTGTCCAGGCACTCCCTATGAAACACATGACAACAATTCGGTAGTTCTCTGATCTCATGCCTCTTCTCCAGGCTGCACAAGCATATCATGCATACTGACTGATGCTCCATTTCTTCTCTATTGCCTCCCGATCTCTCAAGAAAATCCCCGAATTCAACCGCTGGAAGCCTCTTCTTGATTGCCTCTAACCTTGTGGGAGTCAAGACTGTGGCCGGGACAACTGGGGAAGTCAGGGATGGGAGATACCCTCCAGACTCCTGAACATGATCGGCACCATGAGCATCCCTCAGGTGTGAGGGACGGAACAGAGTCAACAGACCCAGATGGAAGAGGGCCGCCACCATCAGCAATTTGACGTACTCCACCAGGCTTAGTAGGTCTGATACGAGCTTTGGCATCTTAATGCCAATACAACAAGAGAAGCCCATCATTAACACCGACCGACAGACCGGAATCTAGAAGATAAAAAAAATAAGGATAGCAGAAGCTCAACTCAATAAAGGAGAAACAAGATTTTCTTTGAGAAAAGAGAAGAAAAGAGAGATGGGAAAGGAGAAGAAATGGTGAGAGAAGGGAGAAGGGGGAGAGGAGAAAAGAGCATCAGAAAGGGGTCCATATATATTTATGAAGAAGGAAGAGAATTTGGAGACACAGACTGGGGTCTCCCCTTTTTCTTTAATTTCTTTCTAGCTTACGTACACAATCGCTAATTTGCTAGCTTCACTGCCGTAAGACTTAAAAAATTTACAGCCTAATTAGAAGTTGGAACATGACATGTGGTTCCCTCTCTCTCCATTCGACTTTTCTATCAAAGTTTTTCTTTACAGCTTAGACCAGAGATACCATAAAACATAATTTGGGAGAGTATAGTAACAGGATAGATGACCTACTCAGTACTTACTACTCGGTGACAAAGACATATGGATTAGACTATTTTTCTCATCTCATCATTTTCATTCATTCAAGGCACTTCTCAAGAAACAAGACTGGGTCGGATAGAAGGAAGACAAGTAATAAATTGGTGAAATTTGCTTACAACAATATAATTTCACTTGCATGGATGCATCCGCTTGCTTTTTGCCGTCTATTATGCGATTTTGAATAAAAGAATGACAATTGACAGCAGAAGAGTTTATATATTTCTTTTTTTCTGCTTAGGTTAGGTACTTAGTTTCTATCTTTATATAAATTATTGTATAATGTAGAAGACTTGTATCCACATGTGGAGATATATAAAAGAAAATATATAGGGTAAATTGCAAATTAATTCCTTATTTTAAGGAGTAATGGCAATTACTCCTAAACTTTCATTTGTAATAAAGACCTATAAACTTTTAGATTTCAACAAAAACCCTCCTTAAGTTGAGTGATGGACCAACTTAATTTATGGAAATATTAACTTGACAAACTTCTATAAATTAAAAATGGAAATTACAACAATAAAAACCTGGAATTGCAACAACCACGACATGCAATTAATATCAACTAAACTAGTAACAAGTGGAAATCGAAAAATGTTAAAATTGTTAGAAAAAAGATAATTTGAAGAATTAGAAAAAATTTAAAACAGTCACATTAGAATGAGAAGCTTTTTCTAAAATGAATTCACGGAATGCTAATAAAAGGGGGTTTTGTTGAAAATAATTTCCACTACTCCAAAGTATAAGTATAGAATAATAATAATAATATGTAATTTACTCAAATATATATATCAATTCATTTCATCTCTGTAACCTAGGGTGCTGTAGATTCCTTTATTATATTATTCGTAATTAATAATTAAATAACAAGCATATCATTAAAATCCTCTTGTATTATCAGGAGGATCATAATCATAATACAATAACTTTTATTCGATTGGGAACAAAATATCTTTTGACAGAGTCAAAAGAGGGTACTTGGAAGTCGTGGGATTTCTTTATCAACCAAAGACAAAAGAGCAATATAATAGTTTATTATATTTATTTTTTAATTTATCTCTGCACCATGCATCTAACCTAATACATGCATTATCAATCAAAGTAATTGTTCCAATTATCCTACCTTCTACAATACAACGTATACAATGAGGGAGAAAGAGAGAGAGTGGATGTTTTGAAGAAAGCCTAAGGAAGAAAACAAAAGACTATAAACAGGAGAACACATTGCCATGTCGTCACTTCTAGAAGCAAAAGTAATAGGCCACAATTGTCATAAAAAAGAGTAAATCCCTTAAACATCCCTGGGTTTTCTGAAAAGGACTTAAACCTCCCTAATAAGTAATAACTGAATTTACAGATCCCTTAAGCAAAAGTAAATGATTTTTTTTTTTTTGACAAAATGGAAAATAACTAAAGAAGCACAAAAGATATCAGGCGCACATGATTAACCCCCTCTCCCACAAGCCTACAAGGTAAACAGATTTAATTCTTATATAGGGAAGGAGGAGAGAGGTGAAAAAGAAACAAAAGATTTCATAGTTTTGGTTTTCTGAGGCATAGTATGAGCAGTAATCGTATCATATCTATGCACATAGATTAAAGAGAGATCAAAAAAGGATAGAAGATGCCAGACATGATGATAAAGAGGCTGTTCTCCCCAGCTGATGTTTCCTCAGGTTCCTTTCATTTTTTTGGATAAAGCTTCCTTAGCATCTTAGAAGAGATAAGCTCTAAGGATTCCGTGGGATAGCAATTTCCTTAAGAATCGTATAATTGCCCAGAGCTCAGCTTCAATTGCCGAGAATGCCAAACAAAGCTGTCCTTTTGCAATGAAATTAAGCATTGGTCAGATGAGACGCCAAAAAATGGCCAATGGAGGCGGTCTGTGCCGGTGTTCTAAGAACCATTAACCATGACAAAAGGTTGGGAGTCGTTATAAAACCAATGAAACACTGACTCATCATCAATCAAACTTGAATTAATCCAGGAGATCTTGAACTTTGCAATCACAAGAGGGTGATAAAAATCTGGTCTTTTGCCAACATCCAGTGGGTCGGCTTCTTTTTTGAGAAAAGAACAGTGTTCCTAATTTCATCCTAGATACTTCTAAGTATAGCTGGGATTCTTCCTTTATAAACCTGTTTAAGAAAACTACTGCCAGAATTATTTTGCTCCCACCATTCCAAAATGTCAATTGAATGTGAAGCACAATAGAGATTAGGATTGAATTTCACTTGAACTTGAAACCAGACTGCTTTTGAGAAGCTGCAGTCAAAGAAAAAGGTGTTCTTGAGTTTCAATGGATGAAGTACAAAAGGTACAAAGAGCTTGCTTTATTTTTACCATGCCAAGGAAGTTGACATCTATAGAGAATCTTCAGGAACCAGAGTTTCGACCATTTAACTGGAGTGGAATAAGAACTAGCAGCTGGTTGGTTAAAGATCCTATAAGCTGACCGGACAGAGTGGAGTCCATTTGCTGTATTCTTCCACATAATCTTGTCTTCACCGAGACGGTATGACAGAGGAATGTTGTTTATTAATTGCTTGTACCGTGTCTGCATCAAAAAATTTAGATAAAAGAACTTGGTTCCAGCTTCTTTCTTCTGAAATAAGATCTTTCACCTGCAGCTTTGAGCCTTTGACATGTTTTCAGTTGATTGAATTCCTGCCCTCAGCTTTGGTTTGTTGTCAAAAGTCTATAGTGAAGGGATGAAAGATTCATCGTATGGACGCTCAAATCTTGCGGAATAAAGGGGCGAATTTCAAAAATTTTTCTCTCTCTACATCATTCCCAATGAGTAGAATATCATCTACATACAGAACCAAGAAGGTAACCTTATCTCCACTGTACTTCCTGTATACACAGGGTTCATCCGGATTCTACTCGAAGTCAAACGATTTGACAGCAGAGTCAAAACGGATGTTCCAACTTCTAGAAGCTTGCTTAAGTCCATAAAYGGATCTRTTRAGTTTMCATACCATGTTTTCCTGACCTGCAGCAATGAAGCCTTGYGGCTGCTGCATATAGATATCTTCAGTAAGATCTCCATTCAGGAATGCAGTTTTGACATCCAT